AGTAGTTCTTAGGTAACGTGTTGCAAAGATTTGTTGTGAAAAAGCATGGAAAGCACTTCTAACAAATAGATGGTCAGTGGTTGCTAATTCTCTTCCTGCCCCCGTTAAAAGAGAAAACTGTTTCTGGTTGGTTGACACACTGTTTTTGCCTTTAAGCCTGCAAAGGTAGGTTATCAACAGAAGCAAAAATGGGACTGCACAGTATCACCAAACACTGCCATGAAGTACTGGTGTTTTTTCCGTGACTGAATTGTCACAATCCCACCAGGCCCAGTTGCTTGGATTTCAGTATCTCACAGTCAGTAAGACCAGCTCATTGTGTATTTTTCCAGAAGTGATTACTTGCAATGAATCCTCAGTAATCTGCTTTTCCCTGATTTCTTAAGGTTTCCTGATTTAAAGAAATTAATTAAAAATTTAATTTTTCGATATCGACTTAAATGTTTGCAAAGCTTGAAAAGCCTCCACTGTTATATTTAACTTTTTCCTAAAAATGACCAAGAATCCGAATTTCTGCAAGTCCTGTGATCCAGGAACTTGTTGCTGTTGCCATTGGCTAGATGTCTATAGGTAAAAATGGAGACTGCCAGCACTTTTTGCTTCTGGATTTTTAACTAACAACATTGAAAATTCTGAATGTGAAGCTAGTCTTGCTTACTCAAATATTTGATGTTCAAGAACTGTAGCGAAGTGCAGCATGCTAATCCAGTCACTTTCCTCTTAGGAACTGATTGGCTTGGCTGAGGAACTGATTAGAAAATAGAATAGTAGCTAAATTTAATGAAATTTGTCACGATGATCCTATTTTGGTTAAGGAACTGGTACGACTCAACTGTGATGTGATAGAACATTGATTGGCCACTATATGTTGGTTTGGGTTGAGAGTTAAATAATTAGATAAATATTGTATATAAAGAATTGATTGAGCAATGGCTGATAAGATTTTGTATAGATTAGTTTTCTTTTTAAATTCTGCACTTTGCAGTTTTCCAAGATAATCGAGATAACTCAAACTTTCTTTTCTCTAGATAAAATTGTAAGGAAAGCTGGCACTCTGACAAATGCTTATGTTTATGAAGTGGGCCCTGGACCAGGGGGAATCACGAGATCCATTCTCAATGCCGGTGTTGCTGAACTTCTGGTGGTTGAAAAGGATAGTCGATTTCTTCCTGGATTACAGGTGAGGTACTTAATGTGTCTTTCTTAGGAGGCAAAAACCCACTTTAAATCTTTAGGCTATGATTCTTAAATCCCAGGGTATTCAAGGATAGGTTCCTCCTCAAACTGTGGATCCCCTGGCTGCATTCCAGAGATTGTGATTCTGTAGTTTGCAGAGGTCTCGAAAGCTGCATTTCTGACAAGCATCTTCACATGGTCTGTTGACCACAATTGAATAAACCTGCTTTATGCGGTAATGCTAAACAAACTAATTTGTTGTGTGTGACCTTTTTAAAAAATCTGATAGCTCTAGTGTCATGGCCCATTCCTTCAAAAATAAGTCATATTCATAAAGAAGACATATGCTTTATTGAGAGAGACTAATTGTTAAGCTTAGGCATTTGTTTAAGAGAATTTAAGTGAAGGACTGAAGTTGTACCACTTACAGATTTAAGGTGAGGTCTGAATGCAGTGATACATGCATCTTTAAAACAGTAGGTACTGTAATTATAGGAGAAATATTTAAGGAACTGGTGAAGAGAAGCCTTGAGTGAGGGACTTCATAGCTGCCTATCAGCAATTGGCAGTGGAGAGGATAGGCTTACTTTGATCTTCCTGGGGAAAGAATTAAAGCAAATAAGTGGGAATTGAAGGAGGCAGATGTGAATTTAAAATAAGGAGGGACTTATATTTTTAATATGTTGGCAAACAGTAGAAAAGATCCTATCAAGGATCTTGTAAAGGGAATTCTTCATAGGGGGCACTTACTGACTTAAGGGCCTTTGTTTGATTCCTCTGTCATTCTAAAACTTTAAAAGAGCCCTTAGCCTTTGGTTCAGATGAGTAGCAATATATTAAGTGAGTCCAGTAGATTAGTAAAATTATCTGCATTATTACTTTCATACAAGGGGAGAAATTGGTTTGAAATTCGTACGTTCTAGGGGGCTGGCCCGGTGGCATAGTGGTTAAGTTGGCGCGCTCTCCTTCAGTGGCCCAGGGTTCATAGGTTTGGACCCTGGGTGTGGACCATGCTGTGGGTGCATTCCACATAAATATAGAGGAAGATTGGCACAGATGTTAGCTCGGGGCCAATCTTCCTCACAAAATAAATAAATAAATAAATAAATTAATTAATTAATTAAATTAGTACATTGTAATACTTGTGTATATAATAATGGAAAAATGTTTAATTTTTGTCAGAACAGTTTGAGAAAATTTGTTTGAAAATCTAGGGCTGTATGTGCATGCATCTGATTTTTTTTTAGAAAGCTAGGGTTTTTTCCCTCATTATTTTGCTATATCCAATTTTTATGCTTTAAAAATTATATAATATTTAATTTTATCTAATTTTGCCAGTCTTTATTGACAGAATTGGTTTCAGATGTATAACTTTATTTTAAGATTATTATATGGTACATATTCTCTGATCAAATGTGAAATTTAATAGTGATTTTTGCTTTGAAACGCTTTATCTCAATTGGAGGTGGAAGTGGGCATGTTATTATTTCTGGTGAAGTCATGAGATGACAAAAAGAAACTGAATAACACTGTGTAATTCCTTCAGGTTTATTCATCTCGCCCTTTCTGAACGCAGGGAATACTCCTCTGAGTTTTACCCTTGAAGAGACTTCTTAACCCTCAGTGTCACCATCTGTTACGTGTAATTCTTTCTCATTAGGCAAGGAGGTGAATCAGATTTCTGTTGATCCCCATCTTAATCGACATATTCTCCTCTCTGATCTCAATTAAAGATCTTTTTTTCTTTGAGGAAGATTGGCTCTGAGCTAACATGTGCTGCCAATCCTCCAGTTTTTGCTGAGGAAGACTGGCTCTGAGCTAACATCCGTGCCCATCTTCTTCTACTTTATATGTGGGCCGCCTACCACAGCATGGCTTGCCAAGTGGTGCCATGTCCTCACACGGGATCCAAACTGGTGAACCCCAGGCCGCTGAAGCCAAATGTGTGCACTTCACTGCTGTACCACCGGGCCAGCACTCAATTAAAGATCTTTGAAGACAGGTTATTTAAAAGACGACTGCATCCTCCTCTCCTCAACAGCACTCCCTGAGTCCCTGCGCTCCTAACGCCCTGCTGTGTTTTATTGATCTCGTTAGCCTTATCATCATCTGACACTATCGATATGTTCCTCTTACGTGTTTGTTGCTGATCTCGCTCTTCTGGAATGTGAGTGCCATGAGGGTAGAGATTTTTGTCTGTTTTGTCCACTGGTGTATCTCTGCCGTATATAAGAGTGCCCGGTACATAGCAGGTGTTCAGGAATGTCTCACATGGGAAATAAAAAGGTTGTCTATGTATCTTAATTAGCTGACTGAATGTGTCATTTAATAGTGAAAGTAATTGTGTAGCATTGATTATCAAAAAGTTTTGTGCTCTCTTTTCTAAATGTGAAGGTTAATTTCAAGGTAAATTACCCTGCAGGAAATGTATATTTGACTTACCTGTTTCTGTAGAAGAAGCAAAATTAATTCTTAATGTCTTATATGCAGGAAAGGAATTTGCCTTAAAAAGAAATGTTGGGTACTGAAATATCAAATAGACTTCATTTTCCTGTAAAGAATGTTTCAATATGTAAAACCACTTTCTTTTAGAGGTACTAAATTAATCATAAAACTGAATCAAGGCTGAAGGAGAGTGATCTATTTTGAAGATTCCATTTTAGTGATTTCTAAGCTAATAGAATTACTTTTTAAAGAAATTGTAATAAATTATAAAATGTCTTCTAGCTGAAAGTGTGTTATTTGTAGTTTAATTCAATTCTTATAACATTATCAAGAGGCATTTTAGGGGAAAAAATACAGTGATAACATATAGCTTTCGCTATCAGCATGTTGTAAAGTAAGAACACATCTAATATGTGAAAGCATCACAGTATAGTTTTGTGGCACAGAACGCAGACTTCAGCCTGGGTTTAACTTCAGCCTTTTCCATTTAGGTTGTGTCATGTTGGGCAGGTAACTCACTGTCTCTGTGCCTCGGTTCGCTCATGGGATTGTTATGAGGATTAAGCGAATGCTTCATACTTAGTAAGCACTCAATACAATTTTCAATATCAGTAATAGATTAAATTATCAACCCCATGCCTTGGGCATCTCTCGTAGTTAAGGACTGATCAGGAGACTGCTAATCTGGAAAGAGGTACAGGAGAAAAGTAATGTTAGTCTTTTGGAGCACTAGAAAATGCCTGGTGCTGGGGGAACCCCGGGGCTTTCTCCAGCTCATCAAACTGGCATGGGACATCTAGGGCTTCTTTTAATGTTGTGGCATTCTCTCAGGATTTTTTTTTGTTTATTATTTTTTGGTTGTTTATTGTTACATTTTTTAGCTGGTCAATTCTGTATGCCTTGGAGGGAGTGAGATTTCTTGACACCTCAGGGAGCTTGAAGTCTTGATAAGTTCTTCCCCTATTTCTGAATTGGTGATAACTCTATAAGTAATGGGTTCTCCTTCAGATAAGCGGTCCGAATTCTTCTTCATTTTTTTTGTTTGTTTTAAAGATTTCATATATTAATAACAATAACTAATATTTGTGGTGATTTTACTGCACTAACTACTTTGTTTTACAGCTTTATTGAGGTATAATTAATGTTCAATAAACTGTACATATTAAAAGCATAGAAATGACTGAGTTTTGACAAATGCGTAATCACGTGAAAGTCTCACCGCAATCAAGAAAGTGAACATCCATCGCCTTCGAGATCCCTCGTGTTCCTTTATAATTCAAGCTTCCCTCCTCCTCTTCCCTATCCTGACAACCACTGATCTGCTTTCTGTCACTGTAGATTGTTATCCGTTTTTTAGAATTTTATATAAATGGAATCATACAGTATATACTTTTTTTGCCTCATGTCTCTCACTAAGCATAATTAGTTTGAAATTCATCCATGTTGAGGTGTTTATTGATAGTTTGCTCCTGTTTATTGCTGACTAGTATTCCATTGTATAGATAGACCAAATTTGTAAATCCTTTCACCAGTTGGTGGACTTTGGTTGTTTCTGCTTTTTGGCCATTACACATAAAGTTATTATGAGCATTGACATGCATATCTTCGTTGAATATATACTTTTGTTTCTCTTCAGGGAAGAACTAGATGTGGAATGTCTAGGTCCGATGGTAGATATATGTTAAGTTTTTGTGAAACTACCAAACTGTTTACAAGGCAGCTGTACCGTGTAACATTCCCGCCAGTTGTGCTTGAGAGTTCCAGTTGCTGCACATGCTTGCTCACACTCGGTATGGTCAGTCTTTTTCATTTTAACCATCCTAGTGAGTATTCAGTGGTAGCCTATTGTGGTTTTTATTTGCATTTCCCTAATGAATAATGATATTGGATGTATTTTCATGTGCTTTTTTGCTACCCATCTATCTTCTTTGGGGAATTGTTTGTGCAGATATTTTGAGCATTTTTTAAATGGGTTGTTTGTCTTATTATTGAATCATAAGAGAGCTTTATATAGTTTAGATACAGGTGCTTTGTCAGATACGTGTTTTGCAGTGCTTTCTCCTCAGATGTGTCTTACCTTTTTATTTTCTTAGACAATTAACAGTGTCTTTTGAAGAGCAAATACTTAGTTTTTATGAAGTGCAATTTATCATTTTTTCCTTTTAAATTTGACCTGTTTTGTGTCTTATTTTAAAAATAATTGTCAAAACTAAAACTAAGAATTTCTCCTATGTTTTCTTCTAGATGTTTTATAGTTTTAGCTTTTATGTGTAAGTCTGTGATAGACATTTTGAGTTAACTTTTGTATATAGTATGAGGTAAGGGTAGAGGTTCATTTTTTTTTTTACCATTTATTGAAAATATTATCTTTTCCTTATCGAATTGCCTTGGAACTGTTTTCCAGAATCACTTGATCTTATATGTGTTGGTCTCTTTCTGGACATGCGGTTCTGTTCCGTTGATATACAGGTCTGTCTGTTCACCAATACCAACCATCTAGCTTTATAGCGAGATTTGAGAGCAGGTAGTGAAGTCTTCGACCTTGTTCTTCTTTTTCAAAATTGTTTTGGCTATTCTAGGTCTTTTGCATTTCCGTATAGTTTTAAAATCAGATTGTCAGTTTCCTTTATTTTAAAAAAGCCTGATGGGATTGTTTTTTTTTTTTCAAAGATTTTATTTTTTTCCTTTTTCTCCCCAAAGCCCCCCGGTACATAGTTGTATGTTCTTCGTTGTGGGTCCTTCTAGTTGTGGCATGTGGGACACTGCCTCAGCATGGTTTGATGAGCAGTGCCATGTCTGTGCCCAGGATTCGAACCAACGAAACACTGGGCCGCCTGCAGCGGAGCATGCAAACTTAACCACTCGGCCACGGGGCCAGCCACCTGATGGGATTTTGATTGGGATTGGATTAAAAGAAAAGATCACTTTGGGGAGAACTGGCATCTTAGTGACATAGTAGTCTGATGTATAAACATGGTGTATCTCCCCATTCATTTAGGTGTTCTCTGATTTCTCTCAGCAGGGTTTTATAGTTCTAAATATACAAGTCTTGCACATTGTTTATCAAATTTACCCCTGTTTCGTATTTTTTGATGCTATTGTACATGGTACTGGTTTTTAATTTCCATTTCCAGTTGTTTATTTCTACTATATAGAAATACCATTTATTTTTGGGTGTTGACTTTGTATCCTACAACCTAAATGCTCACTTATTAGAGGATATTTTGTAGGATTTTCTGCATATACTAGCATTTCACCTGCAAATAAAGGCAGTTTTACCTTCTCCATTCCAACCTGTTTGCCTCTATGTCTTCTTGTCTTATTGCACTGACTAGGACTTCCAGTACAATTTAAATAGAAGTGGTAGGAATAGACGTCTTTGTTTGTCCCTGATCTTAGGAACAGAGCATTCAGGCTTTCACCATTGAGTATCATGTTGTTGTAGGGTTTCCTAGATCTCCTTTTTCAGGTTGAGGAAGGTCCCTGCTGTTCCAAGTTTGCTGAGAGGTGTTGTTTTTCTTTTTTTAATAATGAATACATGGGGCCAGGCTGGTAGCATAGTGGTTGAGTTCACGTATTCTGCTTCAGTGACCTGGGGTTCACAGGTTCAGATCCTGGGTGCAGACCTAGCACTGCTCATCAAGCGATGCTATGGCAGCATCCCACGTAAAATAGAGGAAGATTGGCATAGATGTTAGCTCAGTGACAGTATTCCTCAAGCGAAAAAAAAGAGGAAGATTGGCAACAGATGTTACCTCAGGGTCAATCCTTCTCACACCCACAAAAAATAATAAAAAGAAATAATGGATTTTGGATTTGCAAAAGTATTTTTCTGAGTTTATTGAGATAACCATACAGCTTTTCTCTTTTAGTTTGTTAATATGATGAATTATATTGATTTTTCTAATGGTAAACCAACCATCTGTAGAATCTGTAGTGGTATTATCTCCCTCATTCCTGATATTGGTAATTTGCATGTCTCTCTTTTTTTTCCCCTGATCAGTCTGGCTACATACAGATTGGTCAACTTTATTGATCTTCTCAAAACAAAGAACAGCTTTTGATTTCATTGATTTTTCTCTGCTGTTTTCTCTTTCATTGATTTCTGCTCTGAAGTCTTTGTCATATTTTTCCTTCTGCTTGCTTTAGGTTTAATTTGTTCTTCTTTCTATAGTTTTCCAAGGTGGAAGCTGAGGTCATTTTTTTAAGGCCTTTCTTACTTTCTTACATGTTTAGTGCTATAAATGTCCCTCACAGTACAGCTTTAGCGGAATCCCACAAATTTTGCTATGTTGTGTTTTCCTTTTCATTCCATTCAGAATACTTTCTAATTTCCTTTTTTTAAAAGTTTTTTGAGATTAGATTTAAAGAAAGACTCCCAAAAAAGTTCAAAATTTCCACATAAACCTTCAGCTTCAGTTTTCCTTTTAATTTCCTATTTGACTTGTGGCTTATCTAGAAGTGTATCATTTAGTTTGAAAACTTGGGTTTTTTCCATACACTCTGTTATTAATCTTTAGTTTAATTCCATTGTTATCAGAGAACATACTTTGCATGACTTAAATCATTTTTAATTTTCAGACTTGTTTTATGGCATAGAATATGATCTATCTTGGTAAATATTCCTTATGCACTTGAAAAGAATATGCATTCTGCTGAAAAGACTATATATTCTTCTGTAAGCATGTGTTCTGGTGAAAAGAATATGCATTCTGCTACTGTAGGGTGGAGCATAAATTTCAATTAGGTCAAGTTGGTGTTATTCGAGTCTTCTATATCCTTAGTGATTTTTTGTCTACTTGTTCTGTCATTTATTGAGAGAAGGGTATCAACCTCTCTTACTGTTATTGCAGATTTGTCTGTCCCTCCTTGCAGTTCTGTCTGTTTTAGTTTCATCTATTTTGAAGCACTGTTATTAGGTTCATAAACATTTAGGATTGTAATGTCTTTGTGATGATTGGCTCCTTTATCATTAGGAAATGATCCTCATGATCCCTGATGATATTCTTTCCTCTGAAATCTACTTCATCTGATATTAACGTAGCCATTCCAGCTTTCTTCAGATTTGCATGAGACTGGCATATTTTTTCTATTCTTTTAATCTATTTGTGTCTTTATATTTAAAGTGAGTTTCTTGTAGGCAGCATATAGTTGTCTTGCTTTTTTCCCACCAATCTAACCATCTCTGCCTTATGTATTAGTTTTGTATTGTTGCTGTAACAGATTACACAAACTCATTAGCTTAAAGTGACACAGATTTATTCTCTTACAGTTCTGGGTGTCAGAGGCTAAGGTCAAGGTCAGTTGGGCTGCATTCCTTCTGAAGGCTTCAGGAAGAGTTGTTTCCTTGCCTTTTCAGCTTCTGGAGGCCATCTGTATTCAACAGCCCGTGGACCTCTTGCTTCCACATCTCCTACCTGTTGACTCCAATCCTCCTGTCTCTCTCTTAGAAGGACCCTTGTGATTACTTTGGGTCCAGCTGGATAATCCAGGAAAATCTCCCCGTCTGAGGATCTTTAATTCAGTCAGATCTGCAAAGTCCCTTTTACTGTGTAGGTAACATAGTCACAGGTTCCAGGGATCAGGATGTAGACATGTTTGTGCGACCGGGCAGTATTCAGCCAACTGCGGTTTATTTTCTGTAACCCTTCGTTTTGTTATTTTAGTGGTTTGTTGACGGTATACAGCGTACATCTTTAACACATCCCAGTCTCTCTTCAAGTAATATTATACGACGACGTCATTACAGTGTGCACATCTTAGAATAGTGTGCTTGCGTCTCTCCCTTCCGGGCCTTTGTGTTATTGTTGTCATACATTTTACTTCTTCATATGTTACAAAGTTCACAATACAATGCTACTTTTGTTTTAAAACAGTTCTATATTAAAGGCGTTTAAATAATAATAAAAAATTCTTACATCTTAACCCCTGTGGTTAGTCTTTTGACTGTTCCTCATCCGTATTTCCATTTAGTATCATTTTCTTTCTGCCTGAAAGAATTCTCTTAGCCTTTCCTTAGTGCGGGTCTGTTGGTGATGAATCTTTCAGCATTTGTATGTCTGAAAAAGTGTTTTATTTTGCCTTCATTTTTGAAAAACATACTAGTAGTTTCTTTCAGTACTCCAAAGATACTACTATGCTCAATTCTCACTTGCATTGTTTCTGACAAGAAATCTCTTGTCATCCTCATCTTTGCTTGTCTGCCTTTTTCTCTGGCTACTTTTAAGATTTCCTCTTTATCATTGGTTTTGAGCAGTTTTGTCGCGATGTGCCTTGGTGTCATTTTCTTTGTGTTTCTTGTGTGTGGGGCTCCTTAACCTTCTTGGAGCTGCAGGTTTTCCTGTGCTTCCTGTTGTCCGATGTGTGAAAATTGGTTCATCTATTTTGTCCATCTTTTATTTGTTAAGGCAGAAGAGTATATGTGGTCCCTTATATTGCATCTTGGCCGGAGTGAGAAGCTTTAGGATTCTTCTTAAGTGTTATGTGCTTATTTCATGGAATTTTGGCAATAGTACATCTTCGATTATTGTTAGTATTGCCTCTAGGTTGTATAATGGGTAAACAGAGTGGTTATTTCTACTTGATAGGAAAAGTGGAAAGTTCATGGTATTGAGAATCAAATAGGCTTGTGTTCAAGTCTCACATATGGCATGTACCAGCTTTGTGACCTTGAGCTTGCTGTTGAAACTTTTTTAGCTTCAGCTTCTCCTCTGCAGCATGGGAATAATAGTTATCTTTTGTGGTTATTGCAAGGATAGATAGAAATTTATGTAAAAAGCCTGGCGTATTGCCAGTAGCCAATGAACGTTTGCTATGATAATTATTCCCATTCCCCATCATCTTATAAAGGGACATATAAAGTGATTTAGTCATCCTGGCAAAGGAGCTGTTTTTAATCAGAGATAATAAAAATTTGAAATGCTTTCATCTCAAGCAAATTTTTAAAAAGGGAGATTGCCTGACTTTCTGTTGTGAGATGATTACATACTTTACACACATAACTTACTTGATATAGATATAACCATAATTAATCATAACATAGACAGAAGTCAACAACTAAGCAAAAAGAGCTTACAGCCAAAGTGATTTCCTAGTCCACTGCAAATTGGAAGTACAGAGATCAGTGCTAGAAACTGACCCACTCACAACGGCAAGAAGTTATTACTGTGGCAGACAAGCTATGAAAAGCAAATATAAAAACTGAAAAAAGCGCACTAGTAAAAGATCATAACCATTAAGGCTGTTACTCTACTGACAACAGTGACCCAAGTCATCAAGGAAAGGGTGAAATTGGGTTCATTGTTGTTAGCTTAAGGGAGAGAAGCATGCGATATAGTTTAGAAAGATTTCCACCTGTAAGTTTCTTTTTAAGAAATGTTAACACTTCAAGGAGTAAACATTGGTTGAATAGAAAAATGTGCTAAATCAAACATCTAATTCCTTGATGAGGCTGAGTAAATGAGTTTCTCCTGTACATGTTCTGGTCCTGTTTAAAAAGCAAAGCAAGGGGCCGGCCCAGTGGTGAAGTGGTTAAGTTCACAGGTTTGAATCCCCAGCACGGACATACACACCACTCATTGAGCCATGCTGTGGTGGCATCCCATATAAAATAGAGGAAGATTGGCACAGATCTTAGCTCAGCCACAATCTTCCTAAAGCAAAAAGAGGAAGGTGGCAACAGATGTTAGCTCAGGGCCAATCTTCCTCAAAAAAATAAAAAATGAAAAGAATATAAAGCAAAGCAAGTTGACTTTTTGAAATTGTGCCGTAATCTTCACCCTCGAAAGAGTCTATTGTAACATTATCTTAAATTCTATTAGTCTAACAGTATGACTCTTTTCTGTGTATTCTAGTAAGAATAAAAATTTTATTTTTCACCTCTCATATTGCGTATTGTAGATTCCTTCATTCTCATGTAGTTTACCTAACAGTTTGCCCAGCCCTCATTTCAGCAGTGTTTGGGTTTCTACTGTGTGGCAAGTCAGGAAGAAGGTAATACCCTGGGCTGTGAAAGGAATGCTTAGCCCACTGTACAGTGTTGGCTGCCATGAGCCCTCGCCGTGAGAAGGTCGCATAAAACACACAAAATAGCTATTCGATACTGTTTTTCGTTCTCAAGGAATTTATAATTGTGCGTAAGTTCCAAGACTTGCATAAATTCTTTCTTCATCAAATTAGATCACCAAGAAACTACGTAGAAGGACTGTCGTTACTTGCCTTCCGCAGAAAAGCCTTCACTAAGCCTTGACTTGTTAGAGGAGAGAGATTTTTAAGTGACCATATGAACAATACTTCTGCGTTTTTCTCATTTTTATTAAAGACATTCTCCATTATTTTGTTCCAGGTACCCTTTGGAAAACCTATTTAATACCAGAAAAAAAACATTTTCTCTCTTGGAGACTTGATATAAGTACTTGATATAAGTACTTCCAATAGAGAATAAGAATTACATAATTCACTATGTCAGTCGTGAGAGCTAACATCTTGAGGATTGTTGGCTTGTATGATTTACATGCATGCTTCTCCTTTGCATGGTTTTGGTTTTCTGTTTCTTCTTTTATTTTATTTAATGAATGGCTTTTACTCTAAGCTTACTTACATCTCATTTTGAAAGAATATAGGATTGAAAACTAAAATAAAACTAAAATAAAAATGATAGAACAATTTAAGAGTGTCTGTAAAAATACTCATTTGGCTGTAATCAAGTGTCTGCATTCATAGTCATCTGTGCCTTTGAGCACATTATGAGGTAACATCTCCAGGGTTTTGAAGTGTAAGGCACAGTGTTATTCTTGAAGGGCTGTAATAGTGATCTTTTCCACCCCTCCACCGTGCTCCAATATCATTATGATAATAAAAACATTTTTCTCTGTTAGCGGTTGGTTAGAACGTCCTTCTGTGTCTCTGCTGAGTATCATTAGGTGTTTAAATGGCTGTTGTCTGTAATCATACTATCATTTCAGTTTGTGTGGCGCTTTTTCCCCTGATAATTGCTGCAGGGCCCTCACGTAAAGCTGTGAGCTCCAGCCTCCATTCTTTCTGCAGTGGGGAGTTGGGAAGGGGAAGCAACTACAAAGTAGTCATGGAAGAGGGAGACGTTTTAAAGGATGAGAGGGTTTGCTTTGTCACTGACTGAGACTTAAGCCTGAAGGGGAGTCCCAAAGAAACATAATAGAAATGGAACTTTAACCCTATGAAAGGAAGGTGAATGTGAATTATATCAGTTTTCTGGTATGCAGCTGTGTGTGTCAATGTGGAAAAAAATAACATTCCAGATGTGGTTATCAGAGCATGTAAATTAATGCCAAAGAGCCAAGTTTACATTGTTAGGTTTTAGTCTTAATTACTAATTACTTTTCTATATATTGACATCGTGAAACATAAGCTTTTAGTTCTGCCTTTTTGTTTTTGGTATGCTAATTTGTTTTGTTTTAATTATATGAGGCATAATTATAGAAACAAATTCTAATGTTCTTCATTGACGGTAAATTCTATTATTAAATACACAGGTTTTCTACAGTAACAGCCTGTCGCATGGAGAACTATCTCCTTTCTTATTTACAGTATATTGAAGTTATTATGTTTTCTAAGATTTATTGTCTGGAACTCATCAGATTAAGTTTTAGCAAATCATGGTAATTTAAAATAATCTGTAAGTACAGTAATATCAGAGGTATGCAGTTATTTTTACTAAATTACCATGACTAAACATAGTAAACTGGATGATTCCCACACTTAAAATGTTTAGCCTTTTACCAATATAGGCATTTCAGCCATGTATTTCTAAAACAAACATTACGTGTATAATTCTGCCTATCAGTGAAATAAATCTTTGCAAGTTTCTTGACCTTAGAAATTTTGGGAGCCAAAAATCTCGAAGGCTAGGAGAGGAAGTCTCCAACTTGACAGAAAATTGAATGCCGTTTGGTCATTTACTTGTTCATTCACTCATCAAATATATATGAAGCCCCTACTATGGACTATTGTAGCTGCAGGCCCGTGAGGTAGAAGGAAACAGGTGCTGCCCTTAAGGAGCCTATGTTGTTGCAGGGAGAGAACCCTGTATGGGCATCATTGTGGTCCAGTGTGTTTTAAGTGCTATAAAGACGCACGTGCAAGGCCCAGTGTTGACCCAAAGGTAGGAGGAATCTACAGCCTGGGTGCCTTGGTCCAGTGTCTCCTCTCTGGCTTATGTGATGTTTCTTTCATCCTTCCTGTCAGCTGCCTGAGTTAGGCAAGGAGAGAGTTAGGAGAGGAAGTCAGCTTTAATTGAGGACCAATTGAAAAGCAAGACCCCGGGGTGCTCAGGGCAGAAATGCCTTGAATTGGATGGAGCCGAGGTTCTTTGAGCTCCCTGAGCTGAGACTTACTGTGGGCAGAGGGTCACCTCTTGCTTTTAATTACTTTAGTAATGATGTTTGTTCTCGTTGATTATATTTACTCCCATGTTTTAAACCTTATAAGCTCAGGGACTGCATCTGGTTTTTTTACCAAGGACTTTGAGAATCAAGTTTGTGTTGGGTACAGGGGCACTTAACACAGCATAGATTTATAGACGGCTTAGCTATAGGGCTCATTTTAGCTGGGTGCCGGCACTTCGGTACTGTGAGAGCATTTCTTAAGGTGTGGTGCTGAGGTGGATGAAATGAAGAAAAAGAAGATAACAGCGGAATGGGTGCATTTTTTTTTTCTTTTTTACTCGGAAAGACTGAAGGAAAGCACATGGTTAGGAAGGTAGAAATAAGCTAGGAGGTAGCTACTGTTCATGCAGGATGATTCATTAGGTTCAAAGTGCCTGTGGATCAAGAAATGTTAAGATTGGGGGCGCTGTGGTCATGTTGAGTGTCTCAGACAGCTCGGCAATGACAAATGACTTTCCTGTTGGCTTGAATCTACCCATGGATTATGTTAAAGATCTTGTTAATACATAGACTCCTTTGTATACATTTAGGCTATAAAGATTTAGTTGAATTGAGCTCATCTTTCATATGCTTTATTCCTAATTAATTGTCAGTATTTCATTATAATGTCCTTAGTCTTTAATTTAAAAACTTACGGATTGAAATTGAGTTTTTGCTAAATTTATACAGAAATACAAATCATTCTGAGGGTCGAAATTATGTTGATATATTATTTGTGAAATTATAAGCTATCGTTATACTATTATCTGTTACCATCCCCAGTCATTGCTATGTGTTAAAAGTGAAACGCCACAATTGTCTATTGCAGTGGACACAGTATACTACGAGTTCATTAATGATCACTCCTATTCTCTGGCTTTTCAGGTTGATTTAATGATGCACAGATTTGAAGTAAAAAAAAAAAAAAAAAATTAGTTTCATTCTTCTCCAAAGTGTATGAGCTCATTTTATTGACCTTTTTGTAACTAGATGCTTTCTGATGCAGCACCCGGAAAACTGAGAATTGTCCATGGAGATGTGTTGACATTTAAGATAGAAAGGGCTTTTCCAGAAAGTCTTAAAAGACACTGGGAGGATGGTAAGTGACTTGGTTTGGTTCTCTTATTTTCTTTTGTAATTATTTTTATTACAAATGTTTATATTATTTATTATGTATTACAAATGTTTGTTGTTATACATTTATCCTAAAAATTATCTGAACAGAATTAAGTATTGTGCATTGTAATTTTTTTTTTGCTTTTCTACTTTCTTCAAAAATATAAAATCTAATTACTTTTTCTTAATTCTAATTTATTTGTGTCATATTTTTCAAATTCTTTGGGTTCTGTTCACATAAACTTGTCATTTTTATGATACCGTGTAAGGATGGGGTGAACTCTGAAGTGTTACTTTTTCCCAGTGGTGGAAAAGAAATGTTTTAGTAAACTAAGCCACACCCAAGCCTTTCTTGTACCTTTATTTCCATTCTTTTGCATTCGATGACCAACCAGGGCGCTCTTCCTTCATGGACAGTGTTTACGGGGTTCCTGCTATGTGCCAGCTCTTTGGAATACATAGGTAGACAGGATAGGTTTCTTGCCTCCACAACCCCTCAGAACAAATGGAGGAGCGATTTTGGTGCACGCCCGTCTAGCTGCGACCGTGCCTCTGGCCTCTCCACAGCTGGGCTCCTTCGGACTGGTTCCCGCTGTCCACCTCCACCTTCCAACATGCCGCTCTCTTCTCAGCACGCTGCCTTCAGGTTTCCGCCCCTGCCCCAGCCACGCTTGAGTCACTGTGACATCCTGATTGCCTATTTCAAACCTTGGAGTCCTCCAGCATTCATTTAACTGTTGACTACTGTCTTCTGGAGGATTTCTCTGCTCCTGTCTTCCCTGATACCAGGCCCTCCTACTTTTCCTTTAACGTTATTGGGAGCTTTCTCAAACCTTTGCTGGTGGTTATTTTTCCACCCACCTCTTACATGTTGTTTCTGAGATTTTTCTTTTGAGGCATCTCTCTTTTCATGCTACAGATTACTACATTACTCCACTCCTACGGTTTCACTGACCACCTATATAATGCAGACACTTAACATCTTTATGTCCAGCCTGTATCCCCTTCCTGGGCTTCTGACCCTCTGACAGCTTCATCTGGGTGTCCCACAGGCACTTTGACCTCGTCATGTCTGAAGCAAATTCTCTTTTCCCATAAACCAACTCTGAACACTAATTAGGTAGAATTTTTTCCCTTAATAATCCAAAGCTGATTGTGAGAGTATATTGCTTTTGAAGAATAAATGGACTGAAAAAATACTCAGCCATATCTTTTCATATATTTTTGTTTGATGCTATTAATATCCAATTTGATTTTACCCTTAACTAAAATTTATTCAGAATATATATTCATTCCAAGTTGTTTTTTCTTCTGCCATCCAGATCCTCCAAATGTACATATTATTGGAAATCTGCCTTTTAGTGTATCAACTCCACTGATCATCAAGTGGCTTGAAAATGTTTCTCGTAGAGATGGACCTTTTGCTTATGGCAGAACCCAGATGACATTGACTTTTCAAAAGGAAGTGGCAGAGGTAAGTTTCAACTTTTTCTGGCTATTTTATCACATGATCAAATTCAAAATAATACTGCATTAAGTAAATACTCCTTTATACACACAGAAAAACCCAACAACAGCTTAACCAAAAATCAAACATGTAATGATGATGACAGATGTGACTACAGTAAACTCTCCATGGAGAACGTGATTGACATCATGACATTCAAGAAGGCAGTATAGTAAATGTAGGATGGAGTGGCCATACAACAACTGAAGAAAGACGAAACTGTGGGATGTTGGTGATACATTAGTACATAGGGATTAGCACATGATATGTTAAAATTGATATGTTGAACTTAATGAGAATGTGATAATCAACTTGGAGCTGAGAGAGGGAGGGGGTTTGGTGTCTCATTATTCAGCGTATAGACTTCCACTTAATCCCCCACCTCAGCTATGCCTGCGATCCCACAGCAGGAGTGTTCCAGGTTCCCTCTCTAGAAAGTAAACCTGCAGGGTAGGCAAGGTCAGTGTTTTAGCTGCAGTGGTTTAAGGAGGGGATCTGCAGACTAAGTGTTTTTAAAAAAATTTTATCGTGACATATAAATACACAAGAGTATATAATGTATATGTATGGCTTAATAGAAAGACAGTCAAATCCATACCCCCAGTGAAATTAATAATTAAATTACCAACATCTTTGACACCCTCTTGTATACGTCATTCTGATCGCATCTCCTGTCCCCCATGTACTACCAAGGTAATCAATACCATGAATTTGGGACTTACCATTCCCTGAGTCGTTTATTACATAGATTCTTATCTATATAATTAATATACTTTAGTTTTGTCCATTTTTGAACTTCATACAAATGGATTCATACAGTATGTATTCTTTTATCCTGAGTCACTCATGTTGGTCATAGCTGTAGTTTGTTTGTAGAGCTGTATACTGCCCACTCTTTAACTCTGTCATAATTTATCCATTCTCCTCTTTTGGGACCCTGAATTTGTTTGTATTTTGTTACTACAAAGAAAACTATCATAAACATTGTTATATTTATGTCAGCTGGAGCATATAGGCAAGATTTCTCTAGGGTGTATACCCGGAAGTGGCAATGCTGGATCATAAGGTCTGCAAATCTTCACCCTTGCTGGATAATTCTAAATTTGTTCTCTAGTCGTTATGCCCATTTATATTCCCACCAACAGTGTGTGTGAGTTCATTTTGCTCAATATCCTTTTCAGTACGTGCTATTACCAAACTTAGGCATTTTTGTTAACCTGGGAAGAATGTGTCACTGTGGTTTTCTTTTGTCTTTTGCTGATTTTTAATGAAATTGAGCACCATTTTACATGTTTATTGGCCTTTTGGATAACGTGTTCTGTGAAGTGCTTGTCTCTTACCCGTTTTTCTATTGGGTTGCTTGTCTCTCTCATGATTTGAAGGAGTTCTTACATATTCTTCATACTAGTTCTTTATTAATTAAATGTGTTGCAAATTTCTTCTTCCACTCTATGGCCTATTATTGTTGTCTTTTTGCAATTTTAAATTTATGGTTAGTGCTTTTTGTATTTTGGTGAAGAAATCCTTTTATATCCTGAGATTGTGGAGATAGTCTTCTCTTATCTTGTAGAAGCTTTATTGTTTTACCTTTCACATTTATATCTATAATCCACTTGGGATTGATTTTTCTGTTTGGTTGAAGTAGAAGCCAATTTTGCTATTTCTAACATATCCCAGTTAATTCAACACCATTTATTGAAAAGTTTGCCTTTCACTGACCTCTATCAAAACCTCTGACGTAATGACAAAGCTTATGTAAGCATTGGTCTGATTAGAGACACCAAGAAGACAGATGATGTGAAATCCAGGAAGCAGAAGGCCCAATATAGAAGCTAGAGGAGCGAATCCTCACGAAGAACATTCAGTTCACATCAGAGCAGATCAAGAATTTGACAGAATACCTGTCGTGTTTAATACATTGAAAGAGTAGTTGTACAAGTTGGGGAGAGTTTAGGATTGAATTAGTGATAAATAAATAGAAAACTAAATACAGTAGGGATTGAAGCAAATAAAAGATACCAATATTGAAAAGAGAAGTAAAAAATAACATTTGGAGGTACATAATTGTTTATTTTGGAAACCTAAGGCAAAAAGAGGGACCTATATAAAAATAACCACAAAACTTTACCAAGAGTCTCCAAAGATCACTGAGATACGTCAACAGAAATATCAAAACCCTGGAAGGAAAAATTTTTATTGTAAAGATGCTTACTTTTCCAAATTATGTTTTTCGATAATGTCTTGAGATGTAGTTGAGTTCCAGGGGTCATCTTAAGGAATGGACCTGCAAGAATAGATACAAAATTTTGAAAAAGAAGAGTGATGAGGGAAGACTTACTTATCTAATATTAAAATGTGTTGTAAAGCTCTAATAATCGAAGCACTGTGACACAGCATGAAGCAGATCAGTGAAGAGATTAGAAGGCCCAGAATCAGACAACTTAGTGTCTAATAATAATCAGATCATAATCAGGGGAAAAGAAGAATTACTTAGCAAATACATGGATATTTGGTTAACTCTTATGAAAAAATTTAGTAGTTCACTATATATAAAAGTTAATTCCAATTACTGTGTCTTGAAATTCACCACTCTTTTCTGCAATGGCTAATCTGTTGTTAATTTTACTCAATTTATTTTATTTTATTTTGCTGAGGAAGATTAGCCTTGAGCTAACATCTGTTGTCAATCTTCCGGGGTTTTTTTTGCTTGAGGAAGATTAGCCCTGAGCTAACATCTGTGCCAGTCTTCCTCTATCTTATATGTGGGTTGCCACCACAGCATGGCTGACACGTGGTGTAGGTCCATGCTCAGGATCTGAACCCATGAACCCAGGCCACTGAAGCAGAGGGTGCCAAGCTTAACCACTGTGCCAAGGGATTGGCCCCATTTACTCAATTTATTTTTTATTTCAGATATTATATTTTTATCTCTAGAAGTTCTGTCTAGGTTCTTATTTATCTTCCCTTTCTCTGCTCATTATGTTCCTGCTTTCCTTGGCATCTTTGCGTATAAGTATAATATTTAAAAGAGCTGTTTTAAGATCTTTGCCTACTAATTTCATTACTTCTGTTATTTCTGCACTCTTTTACCAGTTGATTTTGTGTCTCTGTGTGAGTGTGAGGAAGATTGGCCCTGAGCTAACATTATTGCCAATATTCTTTTTGCTTGAGGAAGAGTGTCCCAGAGCTAACAGCTGTGGCACTCTTCCTCTCTTTTGTATGTGGGACACAACCACAGCAAGGCTTGATGAGCAGTGTATAGGTCCATGCCCGGAATCCGAACCTGCAAACCCTGGGCCACCAAAGCGGAGCTCGTGAACTTAATCACTACACCACCGGACTGGCCCCCACCACTAGTTGATTTTTTTTCCCTCTTTGCTACATGTCCCATTTTCTCCTGCTTTGCAAGCCTGGTAATTTTTGACAAGATACCAGATATCATGAGTGTTTTTGTGTTTGTTTTTAATGTTGTAGAGGGCTGGATTTTGTTGTATTGGGTTGCATGGTGGGTTTTGTTCCGGTATGTAGATAAGTTACTTGCAGGTTGGTTTGAGGCTTGCTTTTAGGCTTTGTTATGACGGGTCCAGAGCCTTTAATCAGAGGCTAAGTCCCACTACTAAGTCACGACCTTTCTGAGGAATCCCCCAGTGCCTGTGTATTTCAAGGGCTCTCTACTTTAGCTATTGGAAATGCAAACTATTTCTAGCCTTGCGTGAGCTCTGTTCTGTCCTACTGCTTTCTGATGGTCCTGCCTCCCAGCCTCCCAAGCCTTGAGTTAACCTCAGGCACTTACAGATCAGTGCTCAGCCAAAGACTTAAAGGAGCAGATCTCAGGAGCTCTGCTCACTCCCTTCTTCTCCTCCTGCCCCAACCCGTGGCCACATCTCCAGTAGTCAGCCCCGCACATTCTGGCTGCCTTGGCCCCCCAGAACTCCAGCCTCTGTCTCCTCAGGTCAGGGAGCGCTCTGGGCTCTGTGTTCCTCTTCCCTGTGCTGCAGCCTGAGAATGGCCCCCAGCTGTAAGCTTCTGTCACTGATCATGGTCCCATGCTGCCTGTTGTCCAGTTTATGAAAACTATTGTTTCATGCATTTTATTCAGCTTCATAGTTGTTTCTGTAAGAAGCTTTTTAATATCAGAATTCCTTTGAGAATGGATTATATACTACATTAGTTCAGTTCTTTAGATGCCTTCTTTTCAAATAATGTATGAGACTATCATAAGAATTTTGTTTCTTAGATACATCTCTCTCTTTTAAGCCCTTTAGAGCAGTGGTTCTCATGGAGTGATTTGCCTCACCCACCCCTTAGGGACATTTTTAGTTGTCACAACTAGGGGGAGGAGCTTCTGGTGTCTAGTGGATAGAGGTTAGGGATGCTGGTCAACATCTTTCCGTGCACAGGACAGTCCCCCACAACAAAGAATTATTCAGCATTAACCATCCCAAAATGTCAATAATGCTGAGGTTGAGAAACTGCTTTAGAGTACTTGGCCATAAAATCCATCACAAGAATGTAGGACCCTTTTGCATTTGTGAGGGACTCTAAGATGCCATCCCACTTTCCTAAGCTTCTTGTCACTTCCTTCTCATGAGTCTGTTCATTCTCTTCTGTTGGTTTGAGTTGAGGCCATGTTAATAGTTTGCTTTGTTGGTTTTCTCAACCTTTAGATTTGTCCTTGGGTTTTTTTCCTAGCTGACATGATGATTATAGTATTTCTGTTCTTGAATAACACAGTAGAGATGCAAAATACCATGTACTCTAATTCTTTTTGGGAAAGAGCAAAGAAACAGGCTTAAAAGATGGAGTAATATTTTCAGTGACTCAGAATGTCAGTGTGGTTATTAATAATAGTGTTGCTTCGACTTCACCATATGCAATTATTTTTCTTTAACCAAAAAAAGTTGATTTTAATATGAATATTGAGAAGAGTTTATATTGAGTCTATAATTTATGGAATACTTTAGAAGTATGGGTACCACTGGTCCTCTGACTGATTTTCACATTTTGCAAGTGGAAGTTTCTATGGGAGAATATATAGCGTGATTTTCTTACATACCCTCTCTTTGTTCTTGACAGTCTTATTTGTAATTTTGTATTTTAGCCGCGGAAAACATTTTTAAATAAATATTTTCTTTGCTTGGCTTTGTGAGTTACAAAACAGAAATAAATGAGCACAGTCCCCTTACTCGCTTCTCTCTAGGACTGCAGGGTGGAAGTGTAGGCATTCAGCGCACACACATTAAGGGACACACAGACTATATAAAGTTACAGCTCATAAAGTAGAATCAGACTGTGTAGCAGTAACGAGACCTTAACAAATCTCATCTGACCTCATTTTATAGATGATGAAACCGAGGCTCAGAGTTGTTTAATGTCTTCCAGAAGGTCATGGAGCCAGTGACAGAGAATGCTGAACTTGAACACAGGTCGCATGTTTTCTGCTGAAGTCATGGTGTTCAAGTCCTTCATGTGAGCGGCCTGTGGGCTTTGCTTTCTGGGTCCAGCATCAGCCTCCTTATCTCCTATCCTCTGTGGGGACCCTGGCTGTTGAATGGTCACATCCCTAGCAGGGAGAGAGTCACCTCTCTGTTAATTATCTAGTTCTTACTGCCCTTGATATTTGGCTGTGTAGCTTCTCAAGTATAAGCCCTATTTTTCTACTTAAAATTATTTTAGATGAATAAGAAAAAAAATAACACTGTCCTTGCGAATTCTTTGACCCCTTGTTTTTCTTATACTCAGTCGGAATGCTTAAAAGCTCAAGGGTTAGAGGTTTCCTTTTACTGAAAAATTAACTGGTTTGGTTTCCTGGCCTTTGCTGTTAAAATCTTCTATCTCGACTTTGAATTTTCATAGCTTTACCTATAATGTATGTATCACAGAAATGTCAATTCATGTTTGAATGGTTGATCGACCATTTAACTCTTAAGCTAGCTTTTAGTGAAGTCTTTTGCAAAGCTCTCCGGTTTGAATTGTTCCGTAATGAGTTAGGGCAGATGTGTGTGCTGCTTTCTTCTAAATTAAAACCTAGGATTCACGTGTTTTCATCTCCACACCCTGGGTGTTTTTGCTCCAGAGATTGGATGGGTCAAGTTAGTGGGTCAGGATACCCTGTGCCCTGGCAGGACTGGATGCATAGTGCTCTACGTGAAATGTTCTGCAACGTGTCTTTATATCAAATTAGCTTACTCCGTGCCTCACTGCTTTGCTTTTTGGTTAAAGTGATTTTTAAATTCTCTTGCATTCACCAGTGCAAACAGACCTTTCAGATGTAAAGTGAAAAATTGGAAGAAAATCCAGGTTGAAATAATAGTTTTTAATCTGGGCATTTCTTTTGGTTTATTTTGAATTTTGTGATTATGTTCATGCTAGATTTTAGTTTTATACAGCTGTTTGAATTGAGCCAGTTTGCACAATGCATTTTGAATTTTATACCAGTGGTAAAATTAAGCTCTTTTTCTTTCTTTATGAAGAACTAGAAATATTTTTGACTATTTGATCCATAAGCTTATTCTTTAACTTAAATCCGTACTTCCATTGTTTGTCTTTATGTTTTTTATATTTGCTTGAGAATATATGTCTTTGTTGGTTTTACATTTTAGTAGGGAAGAGTTTGTTTTGTCACGTGTAGTGTAGCAACTCATTACTTGTCTTGAACTCAACTTCCTAATAATTTCAACTCTCCAAATACAGGCAAGAGCCAGGTAACTTAAAATAAAAAGGCATGAGATGAGGGATGGCTTCTGAGTAAGAAAGTAGATGCGACCAAACGTGCAGTTAATTTTGCCCATAGGAAATTTTCTCAGTATCTCAGATTAAAACCTATTTTTTCATCTTATTTAAGGCAGATCTCTTACAAGCCAAATTATGTGGTTTTCACGCCCACAGCAGGTTAGAAGCAGCAAAGTAAAAGGGACTGTTAGAGCTTGGCACGACAGTGATGCAGCAAAGAGAAAACCCAGTGCGGTAAATACAACTCAGAAAGCACAGTGTCTGTTTAGCGAGGAGGCACGCTGCTGGCTTACCAGCTCCAGGATTATCCCAGTCATCGTTGCTATTTTATTGTTGACCCTCTGTCATTCAGAAGAGCTTTAGAATGTCCAGTGAGCTCTTAGAACACAGAGAAGCAGAATGCATTTTAGAAAGATGGTATGCCTAATTTTATTTTACCCGTGACTTAGCTTGGTCCAACCCTAGCATATTGCCGTAGTTCTCATAGCTTTTTTTAAGAAGTAAAATATTGTAGATGGGGTTGGAGCCGTCCTCCACCCCGTTCTTTTTCTCCTGAGTTGTACCATCTTGAAATTTATATTCATCACTCCCCTGCACGTCTTTTACCTTCATCTCAGTTATAGATACACACACAGAGTGAACAGTAAGTTATCTTTTGAAGTTTTTATACAAATGGAGTCATGCTGTACTTATTTTCTGCCACTTAATTTTTTTATTCGACTTTGGGATATATGTTGGTAACCCTATTATTCACTTTCACTATCCTTTAGTATTCCAGTCAGAATTGCCACAATTTACTTATTCATTCACCTGTTGATGGACCTTTGTTTTTCCACTTTTCGTGATGCTTCACACCATGTTGCAGTGCTCATTCTTCTGCATATCTCCTGGGGAGTATGTAAGCTCTTCTCTAGGACGTACTTCTGAAGGTAGACTGGAAGGATCAGAAGGGTTGACTCGGCTTCACCTTTACTCTGTATATTGCCAAATTGTGGTCCAAAGTGCTCGTGCCTATTTTCCCTCTCACTAGCAGTGTCCTCTTGCCATGTCCTCGCCTTTACTTGGTTCTGTTTAAATTATTTTCATTTCGTGCATGTGAACTTGTATCTCATTATGGCTTTAATGTGCATGTCCCTAATTTGTAATCTGCTTGAAGACAGTTCATGGTTCATTTGTGTTGCTCTTATCATTTCTTACCATATTTTCTATTAGTTGTTTGTCTTTTGATTATTGATCTGTAGGTGTTTCTTCTATATTCTGAACACTAATCCTTTATCAGATGTATGAGTTTCAAATACCTTCTGTCAGTCTGTGACTTATCTTTTTTTTTTAAGAATTGTTACCTGAGCTGGCATCTATTGCCAATCTTCTTTTTTTTTCCTCCTGCCTTCTTCTTCTCCGCGAAGCCCCCCAGTACGTAGTTGTAGGTCCTTCTAGTTGTGGCATTTGGGACGCCGCCTCAGCGTGGCCTCTTAAGTGGTGCTAGGTCCGTGCCCAGGATCCGAACCGGCAAAACCCCAGGCCACCGAAGTGGAGTGCGTGAACTTAACCACTCGGCCGTGGGGCTGGCCCCTGTAACTTATCTTTATAGGGTTTTTATTATACAGACGTCTTTACTTTTAATAGAACAAAATATATCAGGCTTTTCTTTTATGACTTCTGCCTTTGCATCTCTAAGTTCTTCCCTACTGTGGAGGTCATAGATATTTACTAAGAAAAATTTTTTAAAGTTTTGCTTTTCACTCACTTGGCATTTATTGTTGGTTATAGTACAAGACAGAGACCTGCTTTGCCCCCTGTAGACACCTACTTGTACTAGCATCACTTGTTGAATGATCCCTTTCCCCTGAGCACTTGCTCCATCACATCTGTCACGTATCAAATATCCTCATGTACTTGGGTCCGTTTCTAAGGCTTTTTGTCCCGTTGGTCTGTTGGTGGTCTGTGCCTTCATTTTGATACCTGGTGGGCTGAGTCACCCCACCTCGTCTTCCCCTCCACGTCCGTTGTCCCTGTTCTTCAGGAGTGTCCTGGCTCTTCTTGGCCCTTTGCTTTTCTGTTTAAAGTGTAATGGAATTTAAAGTTCTTTTTAAAAATCCTTTTGGGATTTTCGTTGAAATTGCACTGTATTTATGAGTTAATTTGTATATACCTGATTTTAAAATGAACATGTTTGGGTACTTAAAAGAATAAATTCCTAGTTTCTTGTAAAAATCAGTTGTCAAAAACAGCCAATTCTCCAGGAGTTCTGAATAGTCAAGGTTTTATTACGTTTAAATAAAGAAAAGGACACCATTGAAAATGTTCGCTTATATATTGGAGTAATTCATAAAACTAAAATATTTAAGCATCTTTAGTTCTTCATTATGCTTGCTAATTTCTTCATTCATCAAAGATTTATTGATTACTTGTTTCGTACAGGACTTTCTTCTACAGAAAGTAACAGTGATTTGAAAATCCTCCACAGTCAGTGGCAGGGAGGTTTTCTTACTTGATTTTTGAGTGCATTGTATATGGTATTATTCACAGTTCTTTGATGTACCTCAGTTGATATTGGGGGAGAGTGTTCCCCATGCTGACGACATAATATGTGTCAAATAGCTTATGCTTTTAAAATTTGCATCAAAAAAATCCACCTGGTGTTCATAGATAATGCAACATTGGCTCCATTCCATCTGACCAGACTGAAGTCATTATTTGCTCAAATTCCCTTTTCTTCCATAGAGACTTACAGCCACTACGGGAAGCAAACAGCGCAGTCGCCTTTCCATTATGGCCCAGTACCTCTGCAGCGTGCAGCACGTCTTGACAATTCCAGGTCGGGCTTTCGTCCCCAAACCAGAGGTGAGTTTCTATTTGTTTTAGTATCTGGAATTAGGATTTTAATTATAATCTTGGTTCTTCCGGGGATGTGTCATAGGAAATTCTCTCTTGGATCTGATCTTTATTTATATGCAAACTGTACCATAACTTTTTCTTTACCTCTCCAGAATAAGAACCATAAAAATCACAATGTGGATAGTTAGTTCTGTTCTAATTTTCTCCCCCTTAGGTAGAATGACCAAATGTCGAGGTTTGTCCGTGTTGCCCTGGTGGTGGTGGTGGTATTACTATTATTATTATTACCATCATCCCTGTTTATTCTTAAAAGTATCCCAGGATGGAAGATAAGTTATATGGTCACTCAGTCCTCACAAAAAGAAATGAGAATTTTTTGTGATTCTGATAGAGACTTCTGACTAAAGTTATATCAAACGTTATTTATTTATTTATTTATTTATTTTTATTGAAATACAGTTGACATATAACATTGTGTAAATTTAAGGTATACAATATGTTCACTTGATACATTCATATATTGTAATATGATTGCCATTGTAGCGATAATTAGCACCTCTATCATGTTACATAATTATCCTTTCCTTTTGGTAGTTGGAATAATTAAGTTCTAATCTCTTAGCAAGTTTGATTATAATACGATATTGTTGTCTGTATTCTCTGTACTGTGCATTATATCTCTAGGGCTTGTTTACTACTCATTGTGAGTTTGTGCCCTTAAAGACATCTGTCCTGTCCCACTACCCCCAGCAACCACCATATTATTCTGTTTTCACAAGCTTGGCTTTTTAAATTTCCCCATATAAGTGAGATCATGCAGTACTTGTCTTTCTCTCTCTGAATTATCTCACTTAGTATAATATGCTCAAGGTCCATCCATGTTGTCACAAATGTCAGAATTTCCTTCTTTCTCGTGGCTGAGTAATACTCCATTGTGTACATGTACCAATTTTCTTTATCCATTCATCTGTCGATGACACTTAGTTGTTTCCCTGTCTCGGCTGTTGTGAATAACGCTGCAGTGAACATGGGGTGCAGATGTCTTTTCAAGTTAGTGGTTTCATTTTCTTCAGGTAAGTACCTGGAAGTGCAATTGCTGGATCATACGGTAGCTCTGTTTTTAACTTTTGAGGAATCTTCATACCGTTTTCCATGGTGGCCGTACCAAGTTACATTCCCCCCAAGAGTGCACAAGGGTTCCCTTTTCTCCGAATCGTCGCCAGCACTTTTCTCGTCTTTTTGTTGATAGCCATTCTAGCAAGTGTGAGGTGATGCCTCATTGTGGGTTTGATTTGCATTTCCCTGATGATTAGTGATCCTGAGCATCTTTTCATGTACCTGTTGGCCATTTGGATGTCTTCTTTAGAAAAATGTCTGTTTAGTTCTTCTTCCCATTTTTCAACCAGATTGTGTTTATTTTTGTTATTGAATTGTATGAGTTCTCTGTATATTTTGGATTTTAACCCCTTATTCAATATATGATTTGCAAAAATTTTCTCCCATTCTGTACATTGCTTTTCTTTTTGTTAATTATTTCTTTTGCTGTGCAAAAGCTTTTGAGTTTAATGTAGCCCCATTTGTTGATTTTTTCTTTTGTTCTTTGTGCTTTTTTTGTCATATCCAAAAAATCATCGCCAAGACCAGCGTCAGGGTGCTTCTTGCCTATGTTTCTTCTAGGAGTTTTATAGTATCAGGTCTTATGTTTAGTCTTTGATCCATTGTGAGTTAATTTTCCTGGGTGGCGTAAGATAGGGGTCCAGTTTAGGGCTCTGCATGTGTTTATTCAGTTTTGCCAGCACCATTTGTTGAAGAAACCGTCCTTTTTCCGTGGAGTGCTCTTGGCTCTCTTGTCAAATGTTGACTGTATAAACAAGGGTTTGGTTCTGGGGTCTGTGTTCTGTTCCATTGGTCTATGTGTTTTGTGCCAGTGCCCTACTGCTTTTGTTATTGTAGCTTCGAGTGTAGTTTGAGATCAGAAAGTGTGATACCTCCAGCTTTGTTCTTTTTCCTCAGGATTGCTTTGGCTATTCTGGGGCTTTTATGGTTCCCTACAAGTTTTAGAATTGTTTTTTCTCTTTCTGTGAAGAATGCCATTGGTATTTTCATGGGAATTGCATTGAATCTATAGATGGCTCTGGGTAGGCTGGACATTTTAACAATATTACTTCTTCCAATAAATGAACACAAGATGTCTTTCCATTTGTTTGTATCTTGGTCCATTCCTTTCAGCAAAGTCTTGTAGTTTTCATTGTACAGTTCTTTCACTTTGTTGGTTAAATTTATTCCTAAGTATTTTCTTGTTTTTGATGCTGTCATGAATGGGATAGTTTCTTTATTTCTTTTTCAGATTTTTCATCCATAGTATATAGAAATGCTACTGATTTCTGTATGTTGATTTTGTATCCTTCATCTTTACTGAAATTGTTGATCAGTTCAAACAGTGTTTCGCTTGAGTCTGTGTACAGAATCAGATCATCTGCAAATGGCAGCGGTTTTGCTTCTTCCTTCCCAATTCCTATGTCTGTTATTTGTTTCTCTTGTGTAAGTGGTCTACCTAGGACCTCCAGTGCTATGCTGAATAGAGTGGTGAGAGTGGGCATCCTTTTCTTGTCCCTGATCTTAGAGGAAAAGCTTTCAGTTTTTCTCCATTGAGTATAATTTTAGCTGCGGGTTTGTTGTATATGATCTTTATTGTGTTCAGCTACGTTCCTTCTGTACCCAATGTGCTAAGTGTTTTTTTGTTTTGTTTTGTTTTGTTTTGAGAAAGATTAGCCCTGAGCTAACATCTGTGGCCACCAATTCTCCTCTTTTTGCTGAGGAAGACTGGCCCTGAGCTAACATCCGTGCCCATTTTCCTCTGCTTTACATGTGGGACGCCGGCCACTGCATGGCTTGACAAGCAGTATGTAGGTCCACACCTGGGATCCAAACGGGTGAACCCTGGGCTGGCCCCAATATGCTGAGTGTTTTTGTTATGAAAGGATATTGTATTTTGTCAAATACTTTTTCTGCATCTATTGAGATGACTGTGTGATTTTTATCTTTCATTTTATTAATGTGATGTATTACATTTATTGATTTTTGTATGTTGAACCATCCTGTATCCCAGGGATAAATCCCTCTTGGTTACAGTGTATAGTCCTTTTTATGTGTTCCTTGAATTCAGTTTGCTGATATTTTGTTGAGAATTTTTGTATTTGTATTCATCAAGGGTATTGGTCCATAGTTTTCGTTTCTTGTGGTGACCTTATCTGGCTTTGCTATCAGGGTAATGCTGGCCTCAGAATGCATTTGGAAGTATTCTCTCCTCCTCAGGTTTTTGGAAGAGTTTGAGAAGGATTGGTGTTAATTCTCGTTTTAATGTTTGGGAGAATTTGCCAGTGAAGTCATCTGCTCCTGAGGTTTTCTCTGTTGGGACGTTTTTGATTACTGATTCAATCTCTGTACTTGTTATCGATCTGTTCAGATTTTCTGTCTCTCCCTGATTCAGTCTTGGTAGTTTATGTGTTTTATAAATTTAGCATTTATTTTAGGTTATCTAATTTGTTGGCATATGATTGTTCATAATAGTCTCTTATGATCCCCTGTATTTCTGTAGTAGCAGTTGTAATGTTTCCTTTTTCATTTCTAATTTTATTTGCATCTTCTCTCTTTTTTTCTTAGTCTGGCTAAATTTTTGTCAATTTTGTTTATCTTTTATGAAGAATCAACTTTTAGTTTTGTTGATCCTTTCTATTTTTCTGCTCTCTATTTCATTTATTTCTCTAATCTTTACTGTTTCCTTCCTTCTGCTAACTTTGTTCTTCTTTTTCTAGTTCCTTGAGGTGTAAGCAAAGTTAGGTTGTTTATTTGGTATCTTTTTTTTTTAATGTGGGCATTTATTGCTATAAACATCCCTCTAAGAACTACTTTTGCTGCATTCCATAGGTTTTGATATGTTGTATTTCCATTTTCATTTGTTTTGAGATAGTTTTCTATTTCCCTTTTGATTTCTTTGACCCATTGGTTGTTCAATGTGTGTTGTTTAGTCTCCACGTTTTTAGATTTCCCAGCTTTCCTCTTGTTGATTTCTAGTTTTATACCATTGTGGTCAGAAAAGAGCATGATTTCGATCTTAAATTTGCTGAGATTTGTTTCACACTCTATTATATGATCTGTCCTGGAACTTGTTTCGTGTGCACTCGAGAAGAATGTGTGTTCTGCTGCTGTTGGATGGAATGTTCTACATGTGTCTGCTAAGTCCGCTTGTTTTAGAGTGTGGTTTAATTCCAATATTTTCTTGTTGTTGTTGTGTCTGGATAATCCGTCCATTGCTGACAGTGGCATTGAAGTCCGCTACAGTATTGTTTGCTATTTCTTCCTTTAGATCTGTTAATATTTGCTTAATGTATTTTGGTGCTCTGATGTTGGGTGCGCATATATTTACAACTGTTATATCTTCCTGATGTATTGACCCCTTTGTATGGTGACCTTTTTTGTCTCTTGTTAGCGTTTTTGGCTTGAAGTCTATTTCGTCTGATGTGAGTATGGTTGCACCTGCTGTCTTTTGGTTTCCCCTTACATGGAATATGCTCTTCCAACCCTTCACTTTGAGCCTGTGTGTGTCTTTAGAGTTGAAATGCATTTCTTGTAGGGTCATATAGTTGGGTCTTGTTTTTTATCCATCTGGCCGCTCTCTGCCTTTTGATTGCTGAATTCAGTCCATTTATATTTAGAGTGATTATTGATGGTAATGATTTACTGTTGCCATCTTATCATTGGCCTTGTGGTTCTTTTAGGTCTCCATTGTTTCTTTTTCCCTGTTTCTATGTATGTTTCTTAAGTGGTGGTTTTCCATGGTGATTTGCTCTGTCTCCCCTTTTATTCTCTGTGTCTGTCCTCTAGATTTTTGCTTTCTGATTACCATGTGGCTTACATAAGCATCTCATAGATAAAATAAGCCTTCTTTTGCTGAGAGTACCTTATCTTCATTCTCTTATAGAGGTTCCACCCTTTTATTCCTCTTT